TGTGCATCTAACTACACATCACCACACTAATGGAAAGAAAAGTTGCAATCTGACCTTTCAACAGACAATCTAGAAGATGATAACCTTGCAATTTATAAGGTAAAGATGACCAGTGTATCAATTTCTTAATAAACAATGCTTGTGGATTAGGAGGCACTATTACAACATGAGACAAGCCATTTACCATTCGTGCTGCGCACACCTGCACTTACACTAACTAGGGATTACTTCCAGGCTAGGCAATACACTAACTATCCTGTTTAATCAAAAAATTGCAGCCAGCCAACTCAGCAAGGTAATGTCCTATTTTGTTTCTGTTTCACAGTCCCTCAAGAAGATATACACTATTTAATTTTAATGGAAGTAGAGGGAGGAAAAAGCAGTGGTCTGCATGTAGAATGATGGTGAAAATGATCCTCAGTCTTTGGGTTTAAGGGAGATTGGATTCTTGCATCTAAATCCATTTTCAGAGGCACACAAGAAGAAGTAGTAGTAGTTCACCTGACAAAGAAAGCCAACTGCCTTTATTTGGCAAACAGCTTACGAGAAGAGAAATAAAAAAAATAAAAAAAAAAAAAAAAAAAAAAAGTACATCAAAACAAAGATTGAAAACCCTGGATCTCAGTGTGTATTTACAGGGTACAAACTTTAGGTACACATAGACTTCACAGTCACATAAACTACAGGCACATGGAGGATAATAGTCAAAGCTATAGCTGCAGAAGTATTATAGAACTGAAACAGTGTTAATCTGTGGGATCAAGGACAGCAAGATTACCTAGCCTGATCTACCACATAAAACAGATTTTCAGGTCTTGCCACTTGAATTATTGTTTGAATTAGACCATCTCTTGCTTCTGCAGCTACCCTTCAGTCTGTAACTTTTAGTAAGTCTACTGAAGCCTAAGCTTGCATTATTTCTTTGATGCCAAGAAACGGTCTTACTTGCATTATGAATTTACCAAACTTCTAACTACTGAATCTCATACATTTCTGTTAGACGTTGACATACCCTATTAAGCCAGTTTCTGTTCCCTATCTAATTAATTTAGCCTGATCAAGTTATCCTATGAGATAATCTAAAGCCAGGTTGTTCTATCAGACGCTATGAAACGTTGAATGGAATTCACAGATCCATAGGAATGCAGAAGCCAAAATATCAGTTGAAGTACAAAGTTCATTTGCAAAGCAGAGAGTAATTCATCCCCTATTTCCTAACAGCATCAGAGATAAGCGATGTCAGTTCCATACCAGTTTGGTGTTTTTCACCCTACTGCAAATTCACAGTTGATGGACTACTGAAAAAATGAAATGCTGCCTTGTGTAAGTCTCAGCTCTCACAAGCGGGTGGCACAAGAAAATACTAAGAGCACTGTCCTGTGGAGGACACGGCTCCCCCATTGTCATCTGCTTCACAGAAAAAATAATGAAGGAGATGGCATAAGAACCTTGAATACACAAATTAAGTTGGCTTTACTATTAAAAACAAGAAAAAAAAAAAAACACAAAAAAACCCCAAACAAACAAACAAAAAAATCAATGCTTGACCAGCACTTTGTACCCATGCATGATGGGTCTTTGTCAGAAGCATTGCTGCTATTATTAAAGTTTCCTCATTTGTTTTTCTGAAAGTTTATACTACATTGCATGTATCAGAAATAATACATTATTCAGTGGCAGTTTTGGGAGTCGTCCAGAGGATGGAACAATGCTGAAATTTTAACTAAGTTAGGAAATGGCAGTGTCCATAAGACCATTATGGCAGTGTGCCAGAAACCAATGTACAGATCATACATGCATAGCACGGGGCAAAGACAGAACTCTATTACTTCCTCCTTCATCCACTGGAGTCTCTCAGATGACAGTAGCTTACAGGTGATGCTGCACCCAGCCACAGTCCAAGCAGTAATATAATCTCCCTCTCTTACAGACCTCCCTCTACAAATCTTAGCAACACAGACCACTACGCTGGACAAGTTCTGGCCAGATAATTACCAAACATCCCTAACGACTCCCAACACAAATCTCATAATGGCAGTTTTTACATTACCACTAAAATTAGCTGTGCTAATTAAAACTGCCTTTGCCAAAAGAACCAGGTTCTTTCCAACTGGTTTTCTTTTATCCCTAGCTAGGTCAGGTAAAGAAAGCAGGATTTACACTGCATGAGGACACCATCAATTATGGCCTACCACTGGCATCCCCTTCCTCATCAACAAAAAGGTGCTGCACAAGTTCATGAAATCCACTTAAATAAGTTCCTCTGAACATATCCTAGACATATCAACATGCTGCAGATCCCACAAAACTTCATCCACTGAATTACCTCGGTGGTCACAAGGAATCACTGGAAATTCATTCTGTGTGAGTCACTATTTTCCCATTTATCACTTGGGAAATTACTTAGAAATTTAAGGTAAGAATGGAAATTACTTAGAAATTTAAGGTAAGAATCATCTTTCACTGGGGGAGACTGCTTATGAATGCATGTTATACAGAACTATATCCGTGCTCTGTTGTTATTTCCTGATTTTTGGACTGGTGGGTAGTTAGGACTGAAGCAGGCATTGAACAGTATCTAGAATAAATATGCCTGGACAGCCCCGACTCACATCTACAAGATCCTAAAGCAACAGCAGCTTCTTTCACAGGCTAAAGAGAAGAGTTACGTGCCAATAAATCTATACAAAAACATACACTATTGAACAGCGCCAATGAACTAAGCAATAAAAAAGAAATGCTCTATCTGCGACAAAAGAGGTTGTAAGCATTTTTGTCTGGAGAGAAGAAACTGATCACCTCTGCCCCAGCTACGGAACTGCCTCGGGCCACAGCAAGAGCTGGAAACTGCTGTTGCCACCTCGTGGGCTCCATGCTGACTGCTAAAGGACATGCACTTCCAGCTGCCACTTCCCGAGAGTGGACAAGCGCTAGTGTCTGGAAGAGCAGAGACTCTCAAGTCAGTGTGCTGAAGATGTCCATTTACAATGGAGGATTCCTCCAGTAGAAAGCCTCCAGGAAGGAGCAAAAGTAATCTAATAAAATCAAGAGAGTGGAAGCTGTATGTGAGCAAAGATAGCCAGATGACACGATGCACTTACTTAATGTGGTTGCAAAACTATCTTTTCAAGAGCAAAGCATAAGATCTTCTCCTTAGAAACTGGGACCAGTGGCCCATTTTAGGAAGAAATCCAGAACGTTTAAATAGTATTATAGGACTGAATGGCTTTCCTTCAGCATGAGCAGAAGGCATTAAAATTACTTTCCCAGCACTTCTACAAGGATGTACAGCAATTTACCTGAGGACTCAACTTGCCTTTCTCCCTAAACCGGCCAGCAGTGATGCCTGACTCAAAGTTCTTGATTAACTAGCTCTCTCTTTCCTCTCCTCAAAAACTGGAGAACTTTTCCATGCCAAATGGAAAACATTTAACGAAAGACCTCACAGGAACTATTGCTTCCATTTTCAGCACCTACGTCATAAAAAGCACTGAAAGCCAGAAGGAGAGCGCACTGGTGCAGTTCAGCAGCTGTGCAAATGCAGTCCAGGAATTTTGCTGTTAGAACATTCCCTCAAATTGCACTTTCTTCACAGTTCATCCAAGCTACATCTCCAACCAGATCAGAAAGCAAAATACAATGGCCTACAAAACATCATCAAGCTTAGCAAAAAATCTATGGCTTGAGATCAAAATACCTAAAACTCAACTTTAACACAAAACTCCAAATACTCAGAAACTTTTTAATCCTACTGTTTAATGCACTAGATATAACAACTTATTTAAAAAAAAAAAAAAAAAAAAAAGCATTAACATATTAACAGTAACATCTGTAGTCAGTTGCCAGACCAGTCAGGGCTGGATCAAAATTCTTAGCTTGCCTTATGGATTAGATGGAATGCAAGGCTGCAGTGACTTCAGAAAATTCAGTGCATATCTCCTTTCATTAACACAGAACACGCACACACCTGGGCTGCCACCTTTAATCCCTTTATAAAAGGAAAAGCAGAATAAATGCACCTGGATTGGCTGCTTTCAGCTCTTCCACAGGACTTGAGTGGTATTTTATGGCATTTATCCATGCTACCAGAAGCAACTGTTGCACCTGTTGGGAAACCATCACACACTATGGCAGTAAGACTGGACAAGCAGCAATATTTGCATGAAGTAGAGATTTACTGCTATGATAACACTGGACCCCAAAGCCAGGTCATGCACAAGTGGGAAACACATCAGGAAACAGGTCTTTAAAAACAGAGACCGGAGACAAAGAACCTGGATCCAGGTAAACATAACACCCTAAAATAAAGGCCTGTGACCAAATGCATGGAAGCAGTGCCATGTTTTCTGGTGTAGGTCAAAAATCATTACGAGTTTCTCAAAGGAAATCTCCTCTCCCATCAGAACTCTAGCTCCATAATTGAGAGCAATGCACTTGCAAGTTTATCTGGAATAAACAAAAAGCTCAGCATTGCTCAGAATCAAGGCAGTACTTTCAGGCCAGCGAAATTCATCTTAGATCACACCTGTCCATTCAACTTCACACTAACTATTTTTGCAGCTTTGAAACAAGAAAACTAATAGCAGCTGAAAAACTCTCAAATCAGCATCTGTATGAATAACCTGACAGCTCTTTATGGAGCAGTGGAAGAAGGAGAATGAAGGAAGATGTTCTACCAAAACTGAAATGATGACCCCTTGCAGGGATGCTGTTTTTAGAAAGAATTTCTTTTCAAGAACTGAAGTTATTGGAATATTCATATTATCCACCATCAGCCCTGACCCTCTCAATCCAAGCAAGAAGTGAGGGAGACAGGGACAGTTTGTGAAGCTCAGCAGTTAGTGGGTGAGAGACTGGGTACAGTCCTGGAGGGACCATTTCTTTTGGTAGTGCACGAAGTTTTTCACATGTTGGTGCTCATCCTGGACTGGCTGTTAGCTGGAGTAAGCTCCCCTTGGCTACCTTCTCTCGGAGGAGACTGCAACAAGACCAAAACACATCCTAGTTAGTGATGTGTAAATATCCTGCAAAGTGCTTCCTGAGAGACCAAAGGAAGCACAGATGAAGCACAGCAGGATACCAGCAGGGGGAGAGCATACCCCCAACTCATATATAATGATGGCTTTGCAAAAGCTTTGTGTTTACAACTGCTACAGTTACAGTTCACAAGAACTGTTCCTAAAAACATCAAACCAGAACTTTTAAGCCACTCTTATTTGCTATGCACAAGGTGCTGTTGGTCCCAGAAGTTGAATCCTATCTGGCATTTAGTTATCACAGAGATTAATATACTATAGAATTTAATACATTCTGTGGCAGATGGCCTATCCTCCCTAAGAGCATTCTTTTGGAACTGCATCCTGGAAGGAATACTCCAAGCAATTCATGCATTTTTTACTTCCTCTACTAAAAAAAACCAAACCAAAACAAACTTACTTCAATCAATCTTTGTTTTGATAAGATAAAAGATATGTGTATGAAGAATTAGTCGGAATGAATTAGTTAGAATCAACCCAAGCATATAAACTTCGAAGGACATTCTGCGTTGTACAAGCAGGTCAATGTATTGGCTAAAAACACTTGTTCCTTATATATTTAGTATTTACTATTGTAAGAATTTGTCCAGTCATGAACACAATAAATCCATTCCCCTCCAGAACCTTCAATTCACCAACTTTTATATTAAAAAAAAAAAAAAAAAAAAAAAAAAATTTTAATACTGTCTCAAAGTCCATACTTAACATGCCCATACCTTGACATGTATCTGGTTGCGCAGGACTGCAGCTCGCAGGATCATAGCTTTGGCACGTCGCTGAAACTCTTTACCCATTAGTAAAGACTTTTCAAAAGTTGTGCTGCGCTGATCTACATCTCGAGCATAAAGAATCTGTAACCAATACAGAGAACTGTACACAGGAGCTATAACAGGTTTCCACAGCAGGAAGCCCTTTCTGCACAAGGGAGCAAAGCTAAGGTATCACAGAGTCAAGAGTTTACACACAGATCAGCCCTCCTGAAAATACCAGTCACAATAGATGAATGCAACTTCAAAGTGTCCAAAGAACGGAGAGTTTCTACTCTTACTACATCTGTTCAGTCTATAATCTGTGGCTCAGATGCACTCACCTTACTGTGCGAGTCTATTCTGGCATTGATCAGTCCCTCCAGGATCAGCTGAGTAAGTTCATCTTCCAGAGCAGCCACTGTGGTATTAAAAGCAGTGGCCATCTTGCGCATGTCTGCCGACACATAGGGGCTGAAGTACTAGAAGAAGAAAATATTCAGTTGCTAAGCGTACTCCCCAGCCTCTGAAAAGCCATGGGAAAATAAACTACAAAGACATGGCCTATCTCACTGTTCATCCACCTCTCAGGATTACATGAACAATTACCTGGATAAGGGCACGATTTCGAATCTGAGTATAAAGTGTCCTGACATGAGGTGCAAGGTACATATCCAGCAGCAGGTTGTCCTGTGCAAAAAAACCACATCAGAAGCTGAGAAGCAGCCAGGAAAAATGTATTATTCCTATGTTCTGAAACATATGTGTATATACTTAAACCTTAAGGATACTACACTACAGCAAGACAATACCATAAAACAAGAATGAATAAAAGAACTAGCAATATATTTCAAAAATTTATCATTTCTCCTCACCCTCTACTGCTAAACTACTCCCATTCACCACGTCAGGAGACAGAAGACCTGAACGCTCTTAGTAGCTACTTTTAACTGTCACTGCTTCTCACAAAAGGCTAGGCAAAGGGAACTTTTAGGGTCTGTTGTGCACTGCTCCCCTGCAACTCACCTTCATCTCATCCAGCATCTTCAGGCATGAAGCATATTTAGATTCATAAAACTTGAAGATGATGTCACGAACCTGTGGCTCCAGCTCCAAAAACAATTTGAAGGAGCTACAGATGAAGATGGCAGTGATCAGACATTGGAACCCACCACTTAAATACCCCACAACCCCATCACTCCAAGTTGCAAAGTTACAAAGTCTCACTATCATTTGAAGATTCCAAGAATTTACTCTCTAACAGACCGGATAGCCCATTTTCAGCTGGGCTGGGAGCCTGGAACACAGAGAGATGCAGCACAGCATCAGAGCTATGGCAAAGGAAGGCAAGAGACTTTTGAGAAACAAAGCAGTAGAAGTGTTTGTCCACAAAAAAATGAGTGGGAATAGCTCAAAATCAGGATACGCCACCAGAAAACACAGGCCACATCTGTGCATGGACTGCAGTCTGTGCTGGCCAGCTTTGTGTTCCCTTTCAAAGCACAGCCTTCACTAAGCACAGCATGCCATAGGTAGGTTAAGCATGCAACTGTCTCAGGAAAATAACCTATAGTAAGTGTGGGAGATTTTTGGGATGCACACTCTCTCAAGCGCTCTCTCAATTCTCCATCACAGATTTCTGAACCTTGGGATCTCACCCTATGAATCAGCCAATAAAAAAGTCAGAGTAACAACCCTTTTTCCACATCAATTTAAAATGAGCGCTTCCATACACTTAGCTGACAGGAATTCAGTATCATTGTAATTCAATCTATGACACACAAATGTCCATTTCTTCCAAAGACTGTAATTCTTTTAAACTTGTATGTATCATAGCTGGATTACACTGCAAGTTGTATTAACAATTATTAAATTGTATTAATATGATTAACATACACCAGAACAAGTGGTAACATGAAGGCAAATTATCTTACAGCTGCCTTCTGTAGGGCTCTATCTCTCTGATTTAATATCTGATATGGACTGCTGATGGAGATAGAAAATTGGGCTATGCAGATGTTGGATTTGACCTGGGTTGGAAACTTCCATTATACTACGAAAATGTCAGCTCTGATTAAGCACTGTGTTTTACACAGTGAAACGTCACTTAACGCTAAAGCCAAACTAAGGCTCAGTGATTCTTTCTCTCCTGTATGAGAAAGCTATTACTCCTGTCAGAATCCACTTTCAACCAAAGTCCCATGTCCCAAAAGATGTCCAGTATGTACAAACTGCTCCCAAGGCATCACTTACCTGCTGGAGATAACATTTCGTTGCAGTTCCTGACGGTCAAAGGTAGCAAGGGCACAGAGACCACCATACACAGCCACATTGCTAGGAGATAACAGCTAGAGAGAGAGAGAAAGCCGTCGCTGACTACTAAAATGGCAGAAGGTTGGAATTAAGTATTCTACCCCAGGCCTTTCCTTCACACAGTGAGAAGATTAGTCCTTGTCAAATGCAGTGGAACCACTCTGCATGCTCTCAGGCATTCACCCAGAGCCTGAGGAGTGATGGTCCACTGCTAAGAGATCAGAAACCAATTCCAACAGCCGGTCTTTTGATTGAGCTACACAGATACACAAATCTCGTAGGTAAGTCCTATGTGATCTAGAGTAGATCATTTAGAGAACCCAAAACCAGAGACTTTTTAAAAAAAACAAAACAAAAACCACAAAACCCCCACAGTTCACAGCCAAACTATACAGGAGTGCTGTGAGAATAACTACAATATGTGAATTTTACAACCTGATACTTAGAAGAATTACATCCCCTCCAACACCTGCACACAGCTCCCTCTTGGTCCTCACCTCAGGGAAATCACAGTGATCAAATGATGCCAACAAGAAGCATTTTGCTGCCTGTTTGTACTTCCGAGCAGCTAGTTCGGCCAAGCCTAGGAACCAGAAAAAGTTAGTTCTTTGTTTATGATAATATACAAGTTAGGAGAAATTGCAAAATCTGGGGAGGAGGACAGGCCCCCAGATGGTTGCTAGTGCCTTCACTATTGAAGTGAAATGCAACTCTCAGACAGTATCTAGCACCCTTTGAACTACGTTGACTCACACTGGCATCCTCTCTGAAGAAACTTAGGGAGAAAAAAGAAATGGCAAAAACAAGTCAGCAGTTCCATCTCATCAGCTTTACTAAATTTTGCATTTCTGGTGAGAAACTACAAAGTCTGTCAAATCTGAGAGAAAAAAATAAACCAAGCACACACTGTTGTCATAGAGCCCTATGGACAGCTAACAGGCAGAAAGACCGGCAGACAATACAGGAAGCTGAAGGATTCACTCACCTGCTGCACATTTCAGTTTGGTGAGAATTGCTTGTGTCTGGCTGTCTCTTTCTCCTCTTTGCTAAAGGATAAGAAAAAGCAGTAGTGAGCAAGCAGTATGAAAACCATTTTGATTACAACTGCCCTTGGGATACTTCATCCTAATAAGTAACTTGCAAATCTCAGCAGCATGATAACTTCATCTTATTTGTCTTGGGAACTATGGCAAGAACCGAGGATGGGAAGTCTCTCGGTTTTTACCATGAGTCAGATTTCCTACACACATATCATGGTAGAAAAGCAACAACAAATCTCAAAAGAAATACTACAGCAGCCAAGGAGGCTGGATTAGAGGAAGAACGGACTGCAAGAAGAAGGGAGTCTTATAGGGACCAAGTCATGATGGGGGAAAGGAATAAATAGTTTTACAAATTTTGGAGAAAGAAAACAAAGGGAAAACTCATGCAAGTTAAAAAGCAGGACCTTACTTCTGCAATTTCTGGTGTAGACTCAGCCTTGCTTACATAGCTCAGAACATGAGACCAATTCTGGAGGTAGACACTGACCTGTAGAGAGCCAGAAACAGTGTAGAATAGGCATGGATAAGTGGTGTTACTTAGATAAGCAGTATCCTTGCAGACACAAGAGGTATAATCAGAGCAAAGTACAGGTGGACTTTACAGCAGATACCAGAAAGACACCAAGTACCATTTCTTGCAAACCTTCCTACCTTGATGACATTGAGACACATGTTGATAACATGTTTAGCACTGGTGCAGTAATCACGGGCTCGTGAGTAACACTTGAGAGCGTTGCTGAGGTCCCCACAGTCAAGGTAATGATCACCTAAGTCATCATGGCCTCTCCTGGAGCACAGGAATTAAAATACCAATGAACTGTGTGCTCAGAAAGCGACACAGTCAGTTTGTTCCAAACAAGTAACTCAACACACTGACCTAAGGCACTGAATGCAGCTGACATCCTGTGTTAGGTGCCTGGAGGAGCAAAATGCTCTTCCTTGCTCCAGCAGAGCCTTCTGCATCTCACCTGATACTCTCCTTGATGGAGTTCCCTTTGTAATTTTTCAGATCTGTGTCGAGTTTCTCCAGTTTAAGAAGAGCTTTTTTGCGTGTAGCTTCAACCCAAGCTGTGTCAAGAGGAGGGGGTTCAATTCCACTATCAGGGACAGCATCAGGTGTATTCTGCAGTTCTCTGAAATGAAAGAGTTTGAATGGGGCTGTTATGCTGCAAACCTTTCAAAACAGAGGTCTGCTCAGTACCCGGCACTGTTACCCTAACAAACAGTACTGCATACACAAAATAGACGAAAGAAAATGAGGATGGTGTGGAAAAAAGACTGCTAAGATTTCCAGTGAAAACAGCAACATAAGCATCACAGATATTTATAAATTCTTCTCAAAATTATCCTAATGATCTTTCACAGGTATTTTATTAACAAGCAAGTCATTGCTAATTTTAAAGAAACAACCTGTTCTATAAATCAGCTGAAAGCAAGTTAGTAACAGTGCTGCAATGAATTATTACATTCTATGAAAGTATTTAATGACTCTAAAGGGTCATTGAATCGCATCAAACATCTCTGTATGGGACACATCGAGTGCACATGTTTACAAGTTCTCTCCCCAGCTATCTTGCAATGGCTTGATAACAAAGCTACACTGCACAGATACTATGCAACTTCTTTTTCCATCCAGCTCAGATCAACATATCTACTTGCACTGAACTCACTTTCCACGATCTTAAACAGAAAAACATGTTCTGAGTTTTTTGGGGGGATTGCTTGTTTGTTTGGTTTTTTACCAACAGTCCTTTTCACATATAAGAAAGCAATGAACATACTGTCACACACATGGTAAAGACTCCCAGGGCAAAACAGACAAGAAATCAACAAATATGCATAGCAACAAAAATAATGCAGACAGGAAGTGTGGATGGGTAAGTGAAGTATCAAAGGCTACCCTTAACAGCAAACCTGGGGGGGGGGGACGACGATGACGGACGGACAACACACACAACCAAACCAGTTAGATAAGGTTTTAATTTATGAACACAAGAGCATCTAGGAGAGGCTTCATCTCCGTAATCTACCTAAGGAAAGACAACTGTGTTCATCAGTATTTCAAGCATTTGCAAGGACAAAACTCTCCTCGATATCTACCTATAGCCTTTTAAAACACTAACACTTCAGAACAAGATAATGTCTTCTGTGTTTAATCTTTTAAAAAAGCATGAGACCTTAGGCCTGCACACACACATTTCACTGCTATTAAATTCTAAAGGCAAAGACAATTTGCTAGTATTACATGCAAAGTCCCCCATTGTGGCACACCAGTCTTAACTCAAAAAAACTCCCAAGGTTCCCATGATCTCTCAGTACCTGGTGGCCTCAGACAGCTTTCTGTGGATTTCTTCATACACATCAACATTGAAAGTTCTCTGGACAAATGACAGTGCCATCTTGAGAGCTTCCACCCGCAACTGTGGGCAGTGATCAGCAATGAACTGCAGCCGCTCAATTCGCATCAGACCGCTGTAGCTGGACGCATACTGCTCCAAATCCTGCAAATAAAACTTCGTCTTAGAAAGCGAAGATGGCAACACTAAATCAGGCTACTACATTGTGACCAGCACAGGTTTTCCTGCAGTCCTGACCCCTTCACAAAGGGCAACTGACTCAGACAAATAAAAAATCAGGTAAGATTATTCCATTTCTGCTTTCTTCAAACGTTAGTAATTTTCTCAGAAATATACAGTACATTACAATTCATCTTTTTTTATTTCAGTTCTGATGCTGTCCATTAAGGCTAATCAGCTCACCCACTCTAAGCATCAGTTATATCACCTGTTAATAATTTTGTCAAGATTCCATCATTTGAGCTGAAGTTTCTTAAACCAGACAACCATTACAGATGTAGTTTTCTTGAAAAATAGTTTCCATATGACAATTGCATTCTTTTGCTCATACTAATTTCTTAAAACATCTCCTTTGAGAACAAACAGGGTCTCTTATTCTTGAGGAAGGATTTGAGGTTTAAATTCTGAATGCTTAACAGATGTTAAGCCTTGGGGTGGGCAGGGGAGAAGAGGAGCACAAAACATCTAGTAAAGATATGATACGGCATTGCAGGGAGATTTCCTAAAAACAGAAGTACACATGCTAACAACCATAGCAGAATGTTCAGGGCAAAATCAAGCATTCAGGCAGCAGGAAACACTAGATTCAGGTTGCCCATCCACATTTAATATGCATCCTATGTCACATCTGACTCCCTCACCCCTCTATGTCTAAATTAAGATACTGCTATAGATGTTACAGTAGCATTTTCTAACATGACTCTTGCCTGATTCAGTGCAAGAATGATCTTGCTCTGAGACTGAAATAGAACTGTGTACACTGTTGCATTTAGGATTCCTGCTTTATTTGCTACAGAACTTGAAAAATACAAAGGCATGAGCATTCTTTCTTCCACAGTTTCATGCCTGATGGTGCACAATACTCCTGAAATCACTGAGTAATTTCACTTTACTCCTCAGCTCTTTGAATGTCAAAGGGGAATTATGGTCCTTCACATCAGTTATGGTGAAAAGAAAATCACTAATTTTTGTGAAACACTTAGATGCTATAGTAATAACAAAGACATAAAGGTCACAACATAATTGCTTCATCACTCTAGCTTCAGAACGGAATTGAAATGCAATGAAATCAAACAAGGTATCAGGTCATACACTGAAAAAAACAAAAACAACCAAAAAACCAAAACCAAACAAACCCAACAAAAAAAATCAAAAAAAAAAAAAGAGGGCCGTGCAGTAAACAGTGAATAACCATGTGACAACTGTTATAAGGCACAGGGACAAGAGGAACAAATTAAAGCTTCAGAGGTTATGGGAGATCCAAGGCTTCCTAACTGAATGCTTTATTTTGCAGCTTTAATGTTGCTTTAACTTTTTCCAATTAACATTTTTGTTCTCTTCTGCAACACCCATCTCTCACTGTTACAGAGCTGACACATAAAAATTGGCCAAAATCTCAAACTATTAACTAAAAATTGAAGAAACTGATATAAGCAAATACAGCCTTTTATAACTCTACAGCTCTGTGGGTTTTAGCCAGTCTCCAGAGGACCAAACAATGAAAGAATTCTATCCTAATTATATACTTAAAGCACCTGAGCCTTGCTCCTCAAAGAACAAGCCTCAAAATAAAGGAATGATGTCTCTGTAAGTAATCAGAGATGTACTAAACTATTTCAGAATGGAAACTGTGTCAAACAGACAGCTCGCAGCAAGTCACAAAACAGCAATTCCTCCTTCACCTCAGAAGGTGCAGCAGAGGTCAGTATGTGACAAGGAGCTACAGAAGAGGTCACTGCTATTCTTACCCCACCTTGCTTTGTAGATAATCTATTAATCTCTAAGTAACAATTTGACAAGGAGTAAAATGAGGGAGTTTTTCAAAAACCTTAAAGACGCCATCCCCAAGAAATGTAATCCACTAGCCCTCAACCAGCACATACCAGAGTGGGGTTCTCCACCACATAGTTGATATCAGGTGCATTTTGCTGATCTTCTTGTGGATCC